TGCTGTTTCAATTTAACAGTTGAGTTGTCCTTGAAAAATATTTCATTACTAATTATGGACTTCGTCGACGGATGCAACGTCCTACGCTTGATTTTGTGCCCAAGCATCGTAGCTGTGGACGGTATATAGTGCGTAAGCCCTGCTGTTATTGTTGCCTGCGGGAGTCCTCCCCAAGGCGGGTTGATTACACGGCTTAGCCGGGCTCATCGAAGCGTTTCACGGTAGCCGCTAGCTGATGCGGCCCGCTGTGCGCGACCGGTTGCCGGACTTAACACTTGCGATCTCACGCACACGGTGGGCCTCTCGGAGCCCGAAAGGCGGAGAGAGAAAAAAAAATTCAGACAGGGCAGGAGGAACGAGTATCCATGTTTTCTAAGCACAAAAAAACTGCCTTGGCTTAGCTTCCCCTTGCCGATTCTTATCTGTCCAAAATACGATCCTGGGAGCAGAGGAAGATGGTTGATGTGATCGGGCTTGTGGGGATTGACGCACGTGCGACCTGCGTCGCCCCTACGGCCTGTGGCTGGCTCATACTCGACACCGACATGCAGTCAACTTCTACTTCAAATATTAGACTCGAAAATGTCTTACTCATGCAGCCAAATTACTCATAATAAATGCAGAAAGTAATGTGAGGAAATATTACCGGTATAGTCAACCTTGCGCTCTCAAGGAGGCGAAATAACGCGTGACATTACCAACGAGGAGCCAGACCAGCACTGCATATCTCCAGCGTACCAAAATGTTAGATATAATTTTCTAAGCTAATAACGAAACTCAGACCTCTTTTAAAAGCTGTCTCTGAACGTCTTCCTACGGCTTGCGATTAGTTTTATTTGGAGACTGGGCCTCGTTCGAGGGTGTCTGCTTCATCAAACTGCACTGTGACCTTAACTGTAAACTGCTCTGGTTTAGTAAATCCGTGGCTGTAACCATGTAGTTAATTGAATTAGTGGTAAGGTTAAAGATGCAGTGCTGTTGCTACTGAAATTGTTTTCAGGTTTGACGTACTTAGACGAAGCATGCACTTTTTGCTCTCGGGATGATATATGTAATTCAATATTTGACTCTTGAAACCTGCCGAGTAAAAAACATCCAAAATTTTGTTCTCGTTTAGGTAGATGTACAAAACTGAATACATGTATACATGATACATTAGTGTGTTCAGTTCTAACTACGTTTCATATTAACCAATCAGAATTTGTTATGGCAGATTTAATATTTGCACTGCGAATTCGCGAAAGCTGAACACATTTCACCTCTAGCGAACCTTTGATTCAAATCTTTCGTGACGTCGAATGTGCTTCGCTTTCACATTTGCCTTTAAGGCCAGTTTATCAGGGGAGCGTGAAATTGAAGCAAATTTGACATCACAACACATTTGCAGCAAAATATGATCGAAATGTGTTCAAGTCTTGCAAATTTCCAGCGCGATTAATTCATCTGACGTCACAACATTGCGTTTGCCTTCGTTTTGGCGGCAAATATGAACCAGCCTTCGGGGAAGTACCCACATTTGTAGGACTGGTTTGGGTTGTCTTACATCATGACGACTCTTCAAACTTTCAATGAATTGTGACATCCTCTTTTGGCAAGTTTGCACCAAAAATATAGAAAGAAACTTTAAACAGCTTTTACAAGACACCTGCAGCTCTACGTATGCAAGCGCATAATGCGTACACGCGATGTCTTCTGTACGCTCAGATTTATGAGGTACATTGCGTTCAGGGAATTGGGAAGTGTCCGACAAGGGTCTATCTTTCGTAAGCAGAAGGCTCTTTCCGGTACCTGCAGAACTCCAGGCGAGGATTTATCGATACAGGTTGACCCAAATGTTGACAAAATTTGCTGCTTTGGGCAAAACTCGACCTTTACAGAAGCAACTGTCAGGTATTGTCCAAACGCGCGGGGGACAGGGCAGAATTAATAGGCGAAGCAAAGTAACGAGCACAGTGATATAATCGGACGACAAGGCGCGAATGGCGTGGTATTTGGGCGGGAAAATTTACAGGCCTTTGTTCTCGGCACTCCCCAAGCGATGGTCTCGACAAACGAGATTGTGCGATCTCTGCCGAGATGGCAGGGTGGGTGAATGGGCACTCCACGGGGACGGGGGCGGACAATCCATTCAATAGTCCATTAGATCAATGACAGTCACAAAGTTCATGGGATTGAAAGGTTTTTTGATGCACTCGCTGGGAAACTCTGTAGATTGAGGGGAGAGATTCCAAACGGGGTTTTGTAGATGAGTCACTAGGGAAGTATTAAAGGTTTAATGAATTCATTTGGGTCAAATGAAATTGAGCATTGAATACACATGGTCCCTTTGACGTGCCGCCCGAATTTTTCTAAAACTTTCGAGATCATGATGGTCAACAGATAGTGTATTCAGTTGTATTTGTTGTTGAGAGCAACAGACTTGCTCCACAGAGAAATAAATGATGGATATTAACTCATAGTATTTCATATAACTTAGAAAAGAGTAGAACAAATACCAAACATGGCATTGGTATTCTAGGTCTAGAAGGTGTGATACTAGAATAGCAAACATCGATTGCTTTGATGGTCGTGTTTAAGCAGTAAAAGGTAAACAGAAAGAATTACCCAAGTTGAGCAAACTTTAGGTTATTTCAGTCAGAGAATCATAACTGCAAGATGCTGTTATGTTGAGAAAGAACACTCTCCTAGTATACTGTGTAAATCACGTAAGGAAGTGTCACAACACGAGAGTTAGCAGCCCAAGGCAGAAACAGTCTGGTCAACATAGGTCAAACGAATGACCTTAGTAAATTCAAATACATTACATTTCTCAAAATAATTCGAAGTGAATATCTTAATGGGTTCCTGTTGAATGCAATTGTACTTTCGAGTTACTCCAGAGATGACAACTCCTCGTGGCGAGCAACATCAACGCACAAAGCCTCTTAACGGACCTCACCATGAACGTCACCGCGTGTAAGCCGGTCCTAAGTCGTCTGCCTTGCAACCGCGCATGCTCTACGCTCAAGCCCTGCAGGGGCCTTGAAGCCAGGAGAGATGAAGGCGCGATAAGCAGGCCGAGATGACATCTGGCCGGTTCAAGGACTGGCCGTGAAATGTCCCCCCTTTAAGGAGTCCCTGTGCACGGATACTGGTGGAGACGGATCTCCCGCCCTTGACTCTGTCTCTGTTGTGTCCCCCAAAAATTCTCATGTGAATTTTTTTTCCTCATCCTGCTTTCATAGGGGACCGTGATGGCTGCGTATGTCTGTTTTTGTTTAACAGATCCCATATCCGAGATATTGATCAGATACACTCATATACCTCATATGAGTGGGATAGCGTTACTGCTCTGCCATCAATACATGAAGACAAGAAGATGCATCGATTCTTCTTACTCCTTTGAGACGCAGAGCCCACCACAGGGAGCTATCAGCTCCCTATATGCGAAGGCCAGCAACATCAGCTATTCTATATTTGAGTTTTAAACATTCTTACGAAGAGCTGACTTGGGCTGGCCTAACTAAAAGGAGAGGAAACTCTTCGGCATGAACATTGACACGCCAAGCATGAAATCCCCAGACATGAAAAGTGAATGCAAAAACAAGTGATTTTTTAAACTTTGATTTCCTGTTTACTGAAACAGTGGGTAGCTGGATACTCGGCAGGTGGATGCAACACAACATAGCCTATCACGTGCAAAGTAACGTGCTGCATATCAAATGCACCAAAATGCGCAGCGTTCTCTAACAGGAATGATTGGGAATTAAAGAACAACTCAAAGAAATGGGCCTTATATGTGATTAAGTTTAATCTCTGGAAATTAAAGATTCTGTATTTTGATGGAAAGTTTTGTCGTCTTAGAATTCTTCGCAGAAAAAGAGCTTTTTTAAAATCCTTCTTTCTGCTGATTTTCCATTAATTTTGCGACAGCACTCCAATCTAATTTATTATCCAGTCATACAAACCACGTTAAAATCCTTAAAAAAGAATTTGATAGCAAAAGAAAATATGTGACTCGAGAAACACATCTCTCTTGTACATGTATTGGCAATACAGCTAGCTCCAGTGAAACCGTGCTATCAGAGTAACCCGAAGCAAAGATTTCAAAACTTTTTCCCCCGCTAAATATGCTAAAAGACTTCGGGTTTTCCACTTTCAAACTGATGACGGTATTGTCTTACCCTTTACGTATTGATTAATGACACTGCGATGGATTAATTTATCTCGTTGCCGATTGACCAATTAAAGTGTATCGAGTTCCACTCCCCAGTTTTAATATCACCTTTGTTGGACGGGAGCCGGTATATGAAACGGAGCGACGTAATGATGTTCCAATTACGTATATTGCCATCAAGTTACACAAGTCCGCCCAAGTCCTTGTTATAAAGAGTGGTGTATCGGTTGCAACCGCCCGGTTGCAATGGTACCCTGGTGGCTGAGCGGGGGCCGACCGGGGATTGGTCGCTTTCGGTGACCTCCCAGCAGCGGTGTCACCCTCGTTCGCGTTGATTGAAACTGGATACGCTTCCCGTCTAATCGGTCGATGGATGATCTGAGTTAATAATGGGTTTTCCTCCTCGTTAACATCAGAAGTTCTTGATGGTAGTCTGAGTTGGGGGAGGTGGCGTAACAGGAAAGGAAAGGAAACAGAGTCTAATCGGAAAAGTGTAACTGAGAAATTAGTCAAGTTGCGTGCTTGTACACGTTTTTATACATTTTTGACTTGCTCTGTTGACCCTTTTTACTGAGTAATGGGCTTTCCCGTGTACAGTGGTTTTAAAAGAAGGATTATGCTTAAAGAAATTGTCAAGCACAACACATTTTATCTTGGTGCTTTGGTAACGGTACGGAATATTTCTCAAAATGTTTGTACTCTTGGGCAGCGTCAAACATCTTGTAACGTCGCCAAGTCGAGCGACAAACATATTTTTACAATCTCTAAATCATCATTAATCATATGTGCCAGACACCACATGCACAATAATTGCTCCTTTCAACTTATCTTCTCTGCCCTACAGAGACTCTGGCAACCACATCCATGGTAGTCGTGGGTCCGGTTACCAGGCTAACTGCTTCGGCTCAATGCTGGGCTTCGTATTACCGACGCTGCGGGCTAGACCTGGCCGGGGACCGCTCTCGCTGAATGAGTTTTGGTTGCTTGCTGGAAGCGCACAGAGAGCGCGGTCAACACGGTATTAATTGGTGTATGTGTACTGCTCCTGTGGTGCCCGGGCAGGCCAGGCATGGTGAAGCGGCGAGCACGTCTTGTCTTGGAGGATGCCTCAACAATTCAGGGAGAACTTTGACAGTGCCAAGTACTCAGCTGAACCCCGTGCTGAGCATAATTGCCACGTCTTGAGATCATCGCTTGTGCAAGCGCACATGAACACACACGCCTGGTCATCTCTCTTCAAACTCATCACGACACTACGCCAGTGGTATCACATTGTCTTGTGTTATCGAGCTATAATTAATTTTGTGTAAGTATGCTGAAACCTTGACATTTACTGCGGGATTTTGAAGGAAACAAGTGACATATAATGCCCAAGCCCATGTGAAATTATAGAAGACCCAGTTTAAATGACCAGCAATCAAGAAGAAACTGGGTAAACAGACATGCCCAGAAGAAAACACTAAACATTATACCAAGCACAAAATGACACATAAGTGACATAAACTAATTACTCCTTTGAACAATTTCTTCACACGATATCCACGAAACAATAAATTCTAGATTCAACATGTTTTACTTCTGACAGAGAAGTGCAGAGAATTAGGAAAAGCGTCCGTTACGATGCCAAGTTACTCAAGACAATGTCTGATAATTATGGAACTTGGTAGGCATGTTAAATAAATTTTGTGACGGCGTGATTACGTCAACGTCACGTCTTGCCATTGCGTCATGCTATGGATATTATAATTTTCTATGCTCTTCCCGTGATTTTGCGCAGTGTTTAATTAACTGTGCAATAAATTGCTGCTTCTTTAACGTGGAACACCTTTCTATCGTTTTTAAAAAGGGATTTTCTTTTGTTCATAAAGGTGTACTTTGTAGACGTCAGGTGTAATAATGCCACTGTTTGAGGATCAATCACAGGAAACCTGTTAAACAGAAATCAATTGTTTTCACTTACAAGGTTTTCACAGAATCTTAAAAGGAGACTGGTCTAATTCTGACGTTTATATGCCCAAGTTAAAAGATGGTTGATTAAAATGTAATGGAATTTTATGAGGGCGGTATATTTCAATCTTTCTATTCTCTTTGTAGAATAAAAAGTAGAATTTAGTGGGTCGTTTTTCTGCTGCCAAGCTGAGAGAAAGATGCAGTGTTTACGTAGATTACAACATGCGCGTCAACGTGTCACTCATATGTCGGCCACAAAAACAATTCCCACTCATATATTATTGTCATAACACCACTTGTGTAATTTATATGCTGTATCACCACCCCGAGTCAACAAATAGTGTTGATATAACACCGATGCAACACTTGAGTGCTCAGGAAACTCTTCTTGGAAGCGTTGAAGGAATGGCACGGTGGGTGATATTATTGTTACCGGGACGAATATTTTGAAACCGCAGTTGGGAATTGGAGACAAACAGGGAAAAATCTTGGGGTGAATTTGGGGCAATCTTTGGGACAGCTGATTCACAGAGGTCTGTTCAGAGATGTGGGGAGTTGTCTTGTGATATTCAGCGCGGCAGGATTGGAGGATATCATTGCAAGCGTGCACGACAGGTATAACAGAGTTTGTCATGAACACAAATAACATTGAACAGAGAAGTATCTCGGTCATGATCACGCATAAGCAGTTTTGTAGGGAGTTCATCGCAAGTCCATGCAAATCCATCACATTCAGTCGTAAGCCAAGTCTCAAGCCAGTTAAATGAACAGTGATAAAAGCATTCCTTTGTCAGTGTTCACACTGCTACATGTGACTGATCTTGTGAAAGGACTTGTATAGGACTTATTATGGAGCCAACTACAATGCAAAGAAGCACGAAGTTGCCAAACTTCCAAAATTAATGTTGAGCACTGCGAGACAAAGGAACCCAATCATTAGATTGACGTTTTCTGCTCGCGTAAATTGACAGGCGGAAAAACTGGGCCAACGATAAGACGTAGATATAGCCAATGAAAAAATCGGATCGTCCTCTCTAATGCTAGCGTATTGATATCTTGGGTTCCCCACACTGTGACATACTTGATCGACATGTGATCGAAGGGGAAGTGTTCACCATCTCGTCTACAGCGAACCGAACATCGCCTGGCATCACCGCAGCGGGAGCTTGGCGCAGAAAGCCGGCAATCCCATTGGGCGGTAATGCTACACCGAAATGCTCAGCCAATGGACGAGCAGACACCTGCCCCCGTAATGCGATGCCCACTCTTCTAGTTCCCCCCTTGTCCAATAACAGACACAGGACTCTATCAAAAGCAGAAACAAAACTGGACACCGATTCTGGGCAGGACTTTATTTTTGCGTGAGTCGATTTCAAATGATGTTGAGCTTAACTTAAAATTGGATGATTCTACTAATATTTAATCTACATCATTGTCTCGATTCACCGATCACTTCATTCCCGGTATGATGCAAAGAAGAGATGAAACTTGTGTTATTTCCGCCAACGTCATCAATTTTTCCCTTTTCAAATATTCGAATTTTCTTCCACGAGGTTTCAATACAATGAATGATTCATCACTAATGTGAAATATTCAACTATTTGCTCAGTGCTGTTGGCCAGATGCAACTGCAATTATACATGTGGCTTTAGACCCAAAAATAATGTAATTGTGACACACTGAATTGATAACTTTGTTTTAATTGTAATATGTATACAAGTATGCCTGAGCTTTGCTGGTGAAAAAGTAAATTCAAATTTACCGAGTCAAGGTCATTTTGCCGTCCTTTCAAATCAGAAACACTCTACATGACCCAATAGCATTAGATACAAATGATAAAGTTTACCTAATTTAGATTCTAGCTAATACTAATAAATTCGCTTTTGTTCATCGTATGTAAAACGCATGGGTCAATAAAAATTGTCAAGTTTGCCCCAGTGTGGCTCCAACTTAACGAACTGTGTTTTTTTCGATCGATGCAATGATCAAGTTCTCACTTCCAAAATAATACTTCCCTTCACGGGGTCAGATAAAACTGACTGAAGTCTGTGGCGACTGCTGAACATACACAGAGTAGTGACCGCGTCCCTGTTTTTGATCAGTACTTCACCCACTCACAAAAGGGATTGATCAGGTCGTGCTTCTGCAAACTTTTAATAACCCCATTCCCGCACAAGATATTACACTATCTCTCTCCATATTTGCAGCCAGTGTGTTATAGCAAGGAGGGGGATTTCGCCATGTCTCCGTGTCTCATCTGTGTTTAAGGGGAAAAGCTTGCCACAATAGTTCCTCCGTATTACCCTGCCCCAGCCGCGAAAACAGCTGACACGTGAGGAGATGAAATTGACAAATTTCCCGTGAAGGCCTTCCATCCCCTCACCCCTGATATCTCAAACATCTCCCGCGTCTCGGGCTTTTGTTCTGCTCGGCTTGGCCCAGGCTTGGGTTGGTGCCTTGAAAACATGGGGCTAATGCAAATGGCAGTGTGTGGGGGGGGACCCGTGTCTTATCCATGTGCGCCAGTCGCGTCATTTTCGCATGCAGCCTACGGTTTACAATGACAAGTGTTTTTTCAAGATGCCAGATCTGGGAGACATGCTTCTATGACCAAAGCAAGTAAGCTTGCCCCTAGCAATCACAGAAGACGATAAATACGCGTAAGTGCTGCAAGACAGACAGACTTAGGTCTGATCCAACAATACAAAGAGCAAGTAATTAGCGCATTGCTCGTTGTCGCCTGCTGTCATTGACTCACGGGGAAGACAAAAATTGAACACTGAAAATCTTATTAAAAAGAAATTCGGCAACGTGATTCAACTTGTCACGCTAGTGCAAAGTTAGCTCTGTGTTTAGTTGAGTCAAATCAGTGACACGTTTAGAGAAACAATTGTTTAAAAGTATAGACATATGATATTTAGAATAACTTTGGACAAAACGTTGAGCACAACGTTTCCATTGTAGACTACAAGTGAATTTATCACTATTTTTTTATTTGCCGAAAACAGCACTAAGTATTTTCCAAATGATCAGATGTTTTTTAATGCTTGCCGCTCAAACGACCAACTTTTTTTATATACAAGATGCGAACATATGTAGCAAGGTATGAGACGGAGAGAAACCCCCCCCCTGCTTTGTGTTGGTCATTGTTTCACAGGAATCTGGGGAATTCCTTTCAGACATCTTGGGGGATGTGTTAAGTAACAATAATTTGGAATGTGTATAGGGATTAGACATGTTGGGGGGGTACCCCTCGGTCTCATTTCTTGCTGGGTATAGATGCGAATTCTGACTGTAGATCGTGTCACTGAGGGGAAAACAGAAAAACGAGCTGGGGAACCCTCGTCCTGTGTTTGTAGTGGATGCATGTCAAACCATGGCTACATGCATTGTGAGGCATGCACAACGGATCTTGGCATGAACAGATAAAAGCCCTCTTTAGCTTGTTACAGTTGAGGTCCGAAGACAAATGACACTGCATTCGATTTGTATGCTTCCATATTTATTTGAACAGATAAAATCAGAGAAAACATGTTTTCCTTAGAGGTGCTCTTTAAAGGAACGTGAGTCCACAAGAATGGTTCTCGCATTTTAATCTATATAGGTAAATTCCATGGAAAAGTGACATCACAAGAGTATACAGGGCAGCTACGTTTAGAAGCGTGAAGCCTACAAATATTAGCGCATTTAGATTGCCTTAAATCAACGTGGGGAAATTCTTCCTCAATTTGATCAAGCTGCCCTCGTATTAACAACCAAAGTAGGTAATTTTGTGCTTACTACCTATTAATTACATCCCAGCATTTTCCCATATTTGTGTAAAATGGGTATTATCACAGGTTGAACACATAGCATTTGGTCCCTTGTTCATGAATTCATCCAAAGGACAGCGTTGAACGTCAGGTTAAAAAAAAGCAAACGGGTCTCAAACTTTACCAAAGTCCGATGCCAAATTCTACCCAACACCCCAGTGTAAACTGGGCACCATCAGCGATGGGTGAAGTACTTTTGTCCCCCTCCCCGCTGCATATACGCGTGGTTCCTACCTAATCCGATCAATTTCATGAGTACACAAGGACTAATTTCTTCTGCTTTGCAATCATGAAGCCTTTACTGATTAGTATACCACGGGTTGCCTGCATGGATGCGCCCATCCATCCCTCGGATACATTATCTGAAGTTATCAGCTCAATCAAGATGTACATTTCATATCGCGACTTAGCGCCGCTGTCGACACAGCTTTCAACAAAATAATCCTGTACGGCCGAGCCCTTATGACGATGCTTACCAGAGGAGAAAAAAAATATTAATAATCTTCCCTCTAGAAATGATGCAGATGGTGGTGACAAGAAGGGAGGGGGAGTAAGGGTGGGGAATACAAGACAAACAAACACACAGCTCAGTGGAGAAGAACAGATTTTAGTAAACCATAGGGCTGGCTGTAAACTTTAAGGCCAATGCCCTTTTGTACTGTCTACCAAAGTTCCGGTAAAAAAAAAATTCACAAAGTTTTCCTAAAAGATTTGAATATGCTCTTGAAGATGCTATCTGTTCATGGTTTTCCATATTGGTGATGGAAGGGGGCGCTTACCCCCAAAAAATGAAAGGAAAAATGTAATAGAGAAGATACGTAAAAAACGAAAGGGGATGAGAATCACCAATTTGCATAAAAAAGCATCAAAATTGACCTCCCCCCTTTGCACTGTTTATGGTTTATAACGCCCATGACTCTAGTGGCAGGGGCCGTCTGGGTCAAATTTCACAGGGCACCTAAGCCGGAAATTCTTGGTAAGCATAGTTATTGGCCAGGGACAAATCAACTGATCTAGTCCCAAGAAATCCTATGCCATAGTGATAGGGACAGTGACCCTTTTCCCCTATACACACAATTACTTTCTTTGCTTGGACATTTTCTGAGCTGCGTAGATCCACAAAATTGATCCATTCGATAGTTGAACCTGACTCGAGTGGTTCCTTTGCCGAAACAGATTATAGACAGGATCGGATCGAGTACTTCGCAGGTCCAATGTTAAGTGACCCCACTCAGCTTATGCATAATCACCATTTACATATTGGCCTTGAATTTCATGTAATAAGCTATGTACTATCTAGATCTGAGCTTATTAAATTCAAAAATTCAAAGAAAGATATTTTAAAAATTAAATGTGAGCAAGGTTATTGGTTCGGAGTTTTATGGTACACCATGGTATTTTTACAGGACCTCAATTTTTTTTGTAAGCTCGCAAATTTTTCCTATAGAGTCCCTTGGCACAGTGCCTACCGCCTATTAGCTACTCTGGATCTGAACGACAGCACATGTAGATACTCAACGCGAATTTTCAAGTCATGATTGCAAATGAAGCCGTCTGGAATATATTTGAAGGAATTGCACAGAACACGCAACGTCTGAGACGGCCGTGTTTAAAACGGTTCAATCAAACGACAAAGAAAGGCAAACATACAAAAGAAAAATCCGAGAAAAAAATCGGAGAGACTGATAAAAACGAGTCCTGAGAAGTATTCAAATTGTGTCCACAAAGAAGTTTTGATGATTTCTTAAAAGCGATACTTTGAAGCTCAAATATTTGAAAACACCTGCACCAAAACTGTGTACAATTACAAAACTAAAAACAGTGGAAATGTGATTGGTTCACACAGCAAAGATTGCAAAAGGAAATATGTATTGAAAGGTTAAATTCGGTGAGGAGAAGGTCTTGCAATATATTGCGTTCAATTTCGGTGAGAGACAATCGACTTGACAGATAGAAAAAAAGATGGACTGGCAACCAACGCGACTCTGCCAACAGCAAGACAGATGGCCCAATCGGCTAGAACACAGAGAGGCGTCTGAAAAAGCAAGAGAAATCTTAGTCAAGTAAAGTGGCTTTCATAAACGGGATGAAAACCCTCATCTCTCGCTAGGAATTTCCTTTTGTTTTTGAGTTGCAGGGAGCCGGGAGTTCGTCGAGTACTGTCGGCCAGCGCACGCAGTGTCACGCGAGTTGGCAGCTCCGGACCCTAGCTAGGGGGCAGTGCGGAAGCTAGACGTTCCCCGAACCGTGGAGGACTAACTCACGTCAATCCTCATTGATTTGGCCCCAAGGGGGTTAGAAAGAGGCTCACGATAAACCATCATGGAGCTGCGATGCCCACAACAGAGTTCACGGGGCAGAGCGAGCTATGACCCGGACTGGATGAATGGAGGGTGACAATCTACTCAGAGAGAATAACACGTCGTCATGACCGCGCAAATAAGATGACAAAGTTGTCTTATGTGGACCGTTCGACCGAACAGGCTGTCACCGCACAATACGTACACACAAGTCAACTACTGTGCGAACCGAATATCAAGCTATTCTACATGTAGATCAAAGTCATACCAATGCAAGATGAAGACATAAAGAAATGGCAACACGCACCTTCTGAAACGCAACATACTTGGTGAAACTGATAATTTAGCTGCAGCGGCATTGTCTGGTTCCCAGACGACTACTTATACAATAACGTCATGGTCCTGACTCGTGTTAGTAAGTTCAACCACAGTAAACATGCTGTGGTACAGTGAATGGCCTCGGATCCAATGAGCTGCGATGTAGATCAAAACATGTGCTTACGTATTACACCGAAATTATTATTTAGCTCCATTCTTTCTCATAATCCGATCTTCAATGCTTTGAAATAAATCGAAAATTTCTCATTGCACTTTCAAAATCAACCCTGATAGGTTTCTCTGTCTTTCTCTCAGTAAAGTTGAGTAGGTCGTATGTTTTGGAGCACATCAATGAAACAAAATTAACGAAGCAACTGCAAATTATTTACTACTTGATGAATGCGCCAGAAAAACCCTGAAAATGTACGCCGAGGTAGAGTACAACGATTGTTCAATATGGCGTATGCTGTTACAGGCAGTGAAACTAGTTGAATTTGCACTTGTAGAGGAAAGAAATATGATCA